CTTAGTAGTTTTTGAAAGATGTGTTCTGTTGAAAATTCAACTGCTCACTTCGCCATGGTTTTCTATGGAATAGAATCAAACCAAGCATCAGCAAGTACGAGTAAAGTCTGTAATTACACTATGTGCCAAATAAAGAACTAAATAGTTAATCAACTGCATTACTGACTAACTTAATATTGTTTCAACTATATTACTAACTAAATTGATTCCGTTTCAACTATAGAACTTAATGTGTTTAGCTATGTAAAAACACGAGTTCTGTCCGCTAAGTACATTGGTACTGGGTAACTTAATCAGACCGTGTTTCGAATTCTGGACGTTTCGTACTCTATCTTTTTTCAACAAAACATCAGATGCATGCAAATTCATTGTCAATAATGATGTCTACTACTACAGCAATTGTTGCTAAAACTGCAAAAATAAGCATGTGTTTAATGTGAAGATAAATAACATTGTTTTCAGACATTGTCCTGACAACAGAGTAATAATAACAAAGCTGCGTTGAACGATTCTACAATTCTCACTACTGGTAGTTTTAGTAAATATGTTGTCCTTCACCTGACATGTATATACTTTGTCAGAACAGAGGAGAGAGGTATATACTTTGTTAGAACAGAGGAGAGAGGTATATACTTTGTCAGAACAGAGGAGAGAGGCAATACTTCGTCAGAAAAGAGGAGAGAGGTATATACTTTGTCAGAACAGAGGAGAGAGGTATATACATCGTAAGCACAAAGGAGAGAGGTATATACATCGTCAGAACAGAGGAGAAAGGTATATACATCGATAGTACAGAGGAGAGAGGGATTGAACTCTTTTAACGTAGGCACATTGTGATTCATACGTATTTTGCGCAAATATTGCTATTTATATTGAAAAGTTCCATGGAAATAAAATTAGCAAAACCTTATCGAAATATTGATTGGGAGAATTGCGAAAAATATATCTAATGTCAGTTTAATTGAATTATAAAATAGTAAAAGAAAATAAATAATAAAAAAACATCTATTTATTCATGCTGAGCCAATACGGTATCACGTATCCTAAAACCTGTCACACATCTATGTAAAATAGTTACATCAATGATGGAAATACAATTTTGAGACTTGAGATATTATTTTTCTGTTGTGTTTTACACTCAAAACACTATCGCTGATTCTGTTTTCCCATTCCCTTTTACTTTTCATAAAAGTACCGCAAGGTAAGGTGTTCGTACTATTTTTTAAAGTGATGGTGATGTCGGCTATATCGGTTTCCGATGCATAGTTACAGTTGTTGTCAGTGGTACGGGAACCTGAAATACAACGTTACTTGAAAGACAAGGATGACATAGTTACAGCTGTTGTCAGTGGTACGGGAACCTTAAATACAACGTGTTGTCTGTGGTACGGGAACCTGAAATACAACGTGTTGTCAGTGGTACGGGAATCTGAAATACAACGTTACTTAAAAGCCAAGGATGACTAACAAAGTGATAGAACGTAATACAAATGAAGTCCTTGAAAGCGGAATTTCACTAATTGTCCAGGTAAAAAAAAACGTTTTAACTAATAAGGTGTCGATTTAAAATCATCTGGGGATAAACATTCACTGTATCTATCAGGACAGAAATTCATATTTTTATATACATAATTGTAAAAATAAATGTGTCTATTGTTCTTATATACATTGTCGGAATTGATAGGCCATTGTCAACTGTAAGTGCGTTGTAGCACCGCATTACCTTATCCAATCCACCTTACCAAAAATCAATAGCTATTGACTGTCGTGGGGTCATTTAACTGAAGCGCATGGAGTGATGGGGCATACCTGTGGAATAGATGAATCTGTAACGCAACAGAGAATGAGAACATGATCGTTTTAATTAAATTTGGTATGATTTTATCAAACATCCTCGGAACATTTAGTATTTCTAATGGATATTTCAGCAGGATAAACGGATACAAGTTATCGGGCGCTTTCTCTATTTTGAATTTGAACTTGAATTCTACACGGATAAAATGTGCAGAAAGGTGTCTCCAGACCTCATGTTTGTCCTTCAACTATCACAGCCAGACAAAGGAATGTCAACTGAATGCTAACCCCCCCCCCCCTACACTAACACGAGCGCAGTACAGGAGATAGATGGCTGGGCAATCTACCATCTACAGAAAGGTAACAGATTGGGGAATCAATATAACAAATATGTGAGATTATTTGAAATTTGACAATTATGTAGGTGAATGATTGGAAAGTTTACTATACAAAATTAATTTTAACAATATTACAGACGAACGATTCCTTCATTTTCTCGTAAAAAAGCTCTTAATTGACACAGATAAAAAGTTTTTGTTGTTTAACATTTCGTGGGTTCAAAACAATTTCCGCACGTACATAAGTATCTTTACAGACAAATTATAAAATAAGGTGGTAAACGTAGTTTAATAAATATAGAGTCGTCTGTATGCATCGAAACAGATCTTCAGGAACAGACCAACACGGCGAAGACCCTCAACTTCGGTTATAAAATAGATCCCCATTCCCTGCGGGACATTTGGCACATTTCACGATTTATTCTTTCAAATCAAGAAACTTTCTGAAGTCACGAACAATGTAGAACGACACAGTGGTACCGAAAACGGGCGTACCAATTATGTAAACTAAAGCTTTCTTTGTCAATTGAAAGTCATGGTAACAGACGTAGTATTTCTATAAACGACAATGTATCCTGTCGACTGACTATGTAACATATATGTCGTCATGGTAGTTAAGTCCACTTTCTTTATTTCTGAGAGTAACAGATGAGGTATTTCTATAAACCGAAGATTCTCCGGTCGATTAGAAATTGAAAGTAAAACTGAACAAACAAATATAACTAACTAAACAAACTTTGAACTGACATGCCATACAGAAGACAATATCAAGTTATGAGAGAATATCAAATCAAAACAAAAGCGTACCGGACAGGTACAAGTTTTCTGGAACCGATGAAAAGGGAAAAAAAAGACATGTTTTGTCATCGACCAATGACATATTGAACACGTGCTTAATTGTAGTTTGCATTGACTTAAACTCGTGATACTAATTTGTTTACAAACTTAAAAGGAGATGATTATGTTATCACGTCTGTGCAATAAGGGGTCCTGCGACAACCGCCTTGGACGAAACATAATTTGTAAAATTGTAGATCCATGTTATTATGTTAACGTACCAATGAATAAATTTTTAACAAACCCCCTTTATTCCCTGACGTACTGTCCAGTGTTATAAAGAGAAGGGGTGTTGTATCCCTGAAATAGGCAAATCTAATTTTCAGTTTATTTATTTTTCAATTTGCAATAAGTATGAAACAAATTTCGCCAACTAACATCAATCAACCTTGTTGGCCGGAATAGAGGCATGTAGGGTTCAAAATTTGGGAGTAATCTGGAGTACCCATGTTGCCAGGTTAGTGACGCAATACTACAAGTCCGATCATTAAATCGAACCTCGGTCTTGGTAAAAGTTGAGTGTGTTATCCAATGTGTCCTCCGACCTCCGTTAAACTAGAAGTCGTCATGATCAACTCGTTACGGCTACTGTATATGACAATATTTAACATGTTATTCACATTGTTTGTACATATGTTTCTTGTTTAAGAAATTGCATGAAAATGAATTTCAATATTGCGTTAATATGTGTAATTTCACCTGTTGATTGGCTTGTTTTTATGCTTTTAACTGTTGTTGTTTTATTTGAGGAATATTTGTTTTACTTCAAGTGATAAGTGTATGTTTCCCGGAAAACCTACACAGGCCATGTTTACCAGACCTTACAGTTCACTGTTTTTCCCTGAAACAAACATTACTGCTGTCACTACAGTGTTCGGTACGGACATATATCGACCAATAAATACAAAGAATTCCAGATATGATTTAATTACCACCCTATCAGAGGCAGCGTTAAGTTGTACCATTTAACGGAGTCACGCCAGAGCGAACTTGTATAGCTAGATATGGAATAGCTGTATGGCGCGGTTGTCACTCATTTACAAAATACCGGCTATGTCCTCTTGAATTTTGCATGATGTGTTGACGGGTAACTTACTCGTAATTACCAAAATGCATGTAAAAGCTCTATCAAACCCTCATCCATCTGTATTGAATATGATGAGTCGTCAGGTAGCTGTAAACGTGCCAACACTTTAATTACGTCATTGTTTACGTGTACAAGGAACGCAGTTAATGGTTCTATGTGAACACAATAAACTACACAAAAGCTCGAAAACCACCCACAGATAAATCATTTAAAATGTCGTATCATACTGCATTGCCATTTTACATTGTGAAAATAGGGAAACAAGAAAACTAAATAAATAATAAATAAGTAGTTCAAAACTTAACTTGAGGTATGTTGTATACCTGGCCAGTGTAAGGCCATAAAGTGTAACATTATCGCCACAGACAGGATATATATCATGTCAGACAGGGTATATAACTTGCCAGACAGGGCATATCACTTGTCAGACATAATCTGACTTAAAGGAGTACTGGTTAATATCTAATTATATAACAGGTAAAGTTCGAATTACATGTATGCTTGTATGCTTAAGCATATACTAAAATATTTAAGAAGAAAAAAAAGCAATCTTATATTTTTATTGATTTCTTTATTTAATAATAAAAAATAAATCAATCATAAAAAAAATGAAAGAATAAAAAAAAATCTTGAATACTTTAGTCCGACAGAACATTATACATGTAGCGCGCTGTCCTCAGATACTCGTTTAAGTGCCTTTTAGTCTTATAATAAGCAAGTAAAACTTTTACAGTATACTTGTTAATAATCAGACTAAAAGGTGTTCACAGAACACGGGATATTGCTTCTATGGCCTAGTAGAATGTTTGTCAAGCTATGTAAGCATACAGTCCGAAAAATGATTTGCTACGCCACTGAACTGTGCCACTACTCATAGGAGCCTAGTGGGGCTAAGGCATTATTAGAATGGTAAACAACTATAGCATACCTCTGTGTTATAACAAATGCATGTGTATTACGTGTTTGTAGAGAATGACTGGGAACTGGTCTTCAGAGCACAGTCCAACAACAGTCTGAGTCCTTATGCAGCATGGATGGGAACGTTGTCACTTCCAACTCCGGTACAGGACGGTTGTAGGCTTATGACGGAAACGTTCACATGTACCACCATTTATAGAAATGATGTTCTTGATATGTGGAGTTCGGGAAATATTACTGAGGCGAGTTTTATTAATTTATTATTATTTTGGCGTCCTGTCACCATAAGTTTAAGTGTGCTTCGCTGTGTGTAACATCATAAATTTCCAATATAATTGACACAACTTTGTGTTATGATACAAACTCAAGAAATAAACGCATGCAATTCAAATATAATATGGTGCTGGTCCTTTCCTTTGTTTGAATTACAGGTACAACTGGAGCTAAACCGAGGTGGTAGCCGAGTTGTCTATGTCCGATTTGATGGCAGAGGATCAACGTTCACCAACTGGTTCGGCATCGATAAGTTAATAGACAGTGGCTGGAGCACCATGTCTAAAAGCCGCACCTTCAATTACTTCTCCATACATGGGTATTACTTATTGTTGAAACAACTCTTTTTCAAATTGTTCTTTTTTTCGAAAATGAAAAAGACTCATCATATAACTATGTACAATGTTGTTCAATAAAAGCATCATGCATTTACAATGACAATGTCTTCTTTTAAGTTTGAAGTTATAATTTTGATTGATTTTGATTTAGAGCGTTGCAAATTAACAAGTTACCTCCCAATTATCAATTATTTTTGTCCTATCAGACATCTATTAGATTGATATCATGTGGAGGGCGTTAAAATATGCAAATGATATTGGTATTATAACCTAACAATTCAACAGGGTGGATCTCTATATTGGTATTACTGACAATTTAACAAGGAAGTGTATTCACTGCCGGGCTATACAGTCAACGAAATTGATTTAAAGATAAGATTGATACACTGATTTCATTTATCTTTCTTTTTTGTCGTTTATGGTTGATGTTATGAATATCATAATTCTAAATTCCTGGAAATTAAATGTCTAGATTTACATGGCAGATGACGTCGATGAACTAGAAGACTCTCTATAACTGGTCTTATTCACCTTGTACATTTTTCTTGTGTTTTCATATTTTACCATAGTCGTAATCATTTTGAGTTAGAATAATAGGTTAGGTAACATTTTCTGTTTGTGTTGCTATGTACGGCTTATGTAAGATTCATTTGTTTGCTAGTATTTTTCACGCGTGGAATATAGATATAGGTGAAAAACACTATCGTGACGTTTGAAACATGTCTTCTTATGAAGCGTAAATATACAATGTATCTAGGAATAATGTCGGTATCTGTGGTGTATTTTTATATCTTCTGATGCGAAAAAACACAAAATAACCTCAGGAAATGCAAATAATCTGTTTATTTAAAAATTGGTAAATGGTAATTAAGACGTTATAGAGATAGACTACGACTTAATTCTCGAATTTCATCTCAATGTTTTACAGGACTGCCGAAAGGAGGTTTTTTATCAATCAAAACTATGGCAGCTGTCCTGTCGACGCGGGCTGGATGGCAGTTATTGATACCACTTCAGTCTATGGACCATGTGAGTGGGACATCAAAACAAAAAAGAGGCCAGCCTTTCTTTTCGCTCCAACAGAGGATGTCACTCAGTGGCAGAACTATGGTAATCTCATTGGGTGAAAACTATCGAATCAGGTCGACAACAGGAGCAAGACAGGCTCTGACGTAAAATCCTAGTTTCCAAGTTAATTCATTATTTAAGTGACAGAATCGCCAATTCTGATTTAAACATAAAGAAAAGAATATCCTTACTTGACTCCTGTTGTAGTATTAATCATCAATACACTTCTAATAACAATACAGTGTTAAGAATCCATACACGTCTAGTAACACTGTAGGTAGTGTAAATCATTCATAGACCTCTAGTAACACTGTAGGTAGTGTAAATCATCCATACACGTCTAGTAACACTGTAGTGTAAGTCATCCATACACGTCTAGTAAAACTGGTAGTGTAAATAATCTCTACCCGTCTAGTATCACTGTATAGTAAATCATCCATACACGTCTAATAACATTATAGTGTAAATCATACATTGACCTCTAGTAACACTGTAGGTAGTGTAAATCATCCATACATGACTAGTAAAACTGTAGTGTAAATCGTCCATACACGTCTAGTAACACTGTAGCTTAAATCATCAATACATGTCTAGTAACACTGTAGTGTAAAACATTCATACACGTCTAGTAACACTGTAGGTAGTGTAAATCATCCATACATGTCTAGTAACACTGTAATGTACATCGTCCATACACGTCTAGTAACACAATAGTGTAAATCATCCATACACGTCCAGTAACACTGTAGTGTAAATCATCTATACACGTCTAGTAACATTGTCGTGTTTAATATCAAGACCCGTCTAGTAACACAATAGTGTAAATCATCCCTATACGTATAATAACATTGTAGTGTAAATCATCCATACACGTCTAGTAACACTGTAGAGTAAATCATCTATACACGTCTAGTATCACTGTAGTGTAAATCATCCATACACGTCTAGTAACACTGTAGTGTAAATGATACATACACGTCTAATAAAACAATAGTGTAAATCATCCATACGCGTCTAGTAACACTGTAGTGTAAATCATCTATACACGTCTAGAATCACGGTAGTGTAAATCAGCCATACACGTCTAGTATCACAATAGTGTAAATCATCCATACACGTCTAGTATCACTGTAGTGTAAATCAGCCATACACCTCTAGTATCACAATAGTGTAAATCATCCATACACGTCTAGTAACACTGTAGTATAAATCATACATACACGTCTAATAAACCAATAGTGTAAATCATCCATACACGTCTAGTAACACTGTAGTGTAAATCATCTATACACGTCTAGAATCACGGTAGTGTAAATCAGCCATACACGTCTAGTATCACAATAGTGTAAATCATTCATAGACCTCTAGTAACACAATAGTGTAAATCATCCATACAAGTCTAGTAATACTGTAGTGTAAATCATCTATACACGTCTAGTATCACTGTAGTGTCAATCATTCATAGACCTCTAGTAACACAATAGTGTAAATCATCCATACACGTCTACTAACACTGTAGTGTAAATCATCTATACACGTCTAGTAACACTGTAGTGTAAATCATCCATATACGTCGAGTATCACTGTAATGTAAATTATCAATACACGTCTACTAACACTATAGTGTAAATCATCCATACACGTCTAGTAACACTGTAGCTTAAATCATCAATACATGTCAAGTAACACAATAGTGTAAGTCATTCATACACGTCTAGTAATACTGTAGTTTAAATCATCCATACACGTTTAGTAACACTGTAATGTAAATCATCCATACATGTCTAGTAACACTGTAGCTTAAATCATCAATACATGTCTAGTAACACAATAGTGTAAGTCATTCATACACGTCTAGTAATACTGTAGTTTAAATCATCCATACACGTATAGTATCACTGTAATGTAAATCATCCATACATGTCTAGTAACACTGTAATGTAAATCATCCATACATGTCTAGTAACACTGTAGTGTAAATCATCCATACACGTCTAGTAACACTGTAGTGTAAAATATGAATACACGTGTAGTAACACTGCCGTGTAAATCATTCATAGACCTCTAGTAACACAATAGTGTAAATCATCCATACACGTCTACTAACACTGTAGTGTAAATCATCTATACACGTCTAGTAACAAAAAAGTTTAAATCATCTATACACGTCTAGTAGCACAATAGTGTAAATCATCAATACATGTCTACTAACACTATAATGTAAATCATCCATACACGTCTAGTAACACTGTAGTGTAAATCATCCATACATGTCTAGTAACACTGTAATGTAAATCATCCATACAAGTCTAGTAACACTGTAGCTTAAATCATCAATACATGTCTAGTAACACAATAGTGTAAGTCATTCATACACGTCTAGTAATACTGTAGTTTAAATCATCCATACACGTATAGTAACACTGTAATGTAAATCATCCATACATGTCTAGTAACACAATAGTGTAAATCATCCATACACGTCTAGTAACACTGTAGTGTAAATCATCCATACACGTCTAGTAACGCTGTAATGTAAATTATCCATACACGTCTAGTAACACTGTAGAGTAAAATATCAATACACGTCTAGTAACACTGCCGTGTAAATCATCAATACACGTCTAATAAACATGTCGTGTAAATAATACATACACGTCTATTAACACTGTCGTGTAAATCATCAATACACGTCTAGTAAACATGTCGTGTAAATAATCTATACACGTCTAGTAACACTATCGTGTAAATCATCAATACACGTCTAGTAGCTTTATAGTGTAAATAAGTCATACACGTCTAGTAACACTGTAATGTAAATTACCATACACGTCTAGTAACACTGTAGAGTAAAATATCAATACACGTCTAGTATCACTGCCGTGTAAATCATCAATACACGTCTAATAAACATGTCGTGTAAATAATACATACACGTCTATTAACACTGTCGTGTAAATCATCAATACACGTCTAGTAGCTTTATAGTGTAAATAAGTCATACACGTCTAGTAACATTGTTTTGTGAATTATCCATACACGTCAAGTAACACTGTAGTGTAAATAAATTATACACGTCTAGTAATACGGTAGTGTTAATAAATTATACACGTCTAGTAAGCATGTAGTGTAAATTACCCATACACGTCTTGTATCAATAAAGAGTAATTCATCCATACACGTCTAAAAACACTTATGTCTGATAAATTATAAGCTATGATACATGTCAACACAAGAAACATCATCAGTATACTCACAATCTCAAATCTTCCATAATTACTCCACACAAAGGTTTTCTACAGCAGTCGTAGTAAACTTTCGATATCAATTCATTTTATTTGTAGAATTAAGACATCTAATTAACTCCAAGTTGTATAATATTTCTCCGTTTCATTTATATATTGTTTCAATATAATTAATGTAAAGATATTTCTATTGCTAAGTTAAATGTGATATCGATTTCTTTTAAGATATCATTTAAATTTTTAAAGATATCTATATTTATTCAAACGTTAGTCACTTCTTTTTAAGTAATTGATTATTCGTTTGCTTGCTATGGGCACGCACTGAAACCTTATGGGATAAGTCGGCTTTACGGTACCAATGCATGCTGGTGGAAACTGCTAAAGCCATACATCCTGTTGATTATACGCGATACAATTGGATTATTACAGATTGATTAAAATATGTAGTCTAACATCCTGAATGGTCTGCTAACATAATATTGATGTATGTTTAATTTTAAAATATGAATCAAGGACTAATAAAAGCTATTCTTTTAAAGTGTGATGAAAGTAAACCTTCCTCTAATGGACCCACTAGTTACTAGTATGTACAATATCTCCCTCTAATGGACCCACTAGTTATTAGTATGTACAAAAACTCCCTCTAATCGAGCCACTAGTTACTAGTATGTACAATACCTCCCTCTAATGGACCGACAAGTTACTAGTATGTACAATACTTCCCTCTAATGGACCCACTAGTTACTAGTATGTACAATAACCCCCTCTAATGTACCCACTAGTTACTAGTATGTACAATACCTCCCTCTAATGGACCCATTAGTTACTAGTATGTACAATACCTCCCTCTAATGGACACACTAGTTACTAGTATGTACAATACCTCCCTCTAAGCGAGCCACTAGTTACTAGTACGCACAATACCTTCCTCTCATGGACCCACTAGTTACTAGAATATGCAATACCTCCCTCTAATGGATTCACTAGTTACTAGTATGTACAATACCTCCCTCCAATGGACCCACTAGGTACTAGAATATACAATACCTCCCTCTAATGGACCCACTAGTTACTAGTATGTACAATTATAATTGCGTATGATCTAGTTTACACCACAATGTATTTGAACAAAAAAGTGACAATGGTATCACTTTGGTGTGTTTTCTCAGCGCTCAAATATCCTATTAAACTCGTGACAATACGGAAGTTCTTTGTTTCAATGAATAACATACGTATGTATCCCAGTTGCCATAGGAGTGGTAGTATAAATAAACACTAGATAATTCGGGAATGATATGATAAGACATTGATATCGATTTGTTTATTCTACGCCCTTCAATCGTCTATCAGAACGTTTTAGCGGCTTTCATCTCACATTTGGAATCTTCAGCAGCCTCTAAAACTTCCGGTGAAATATAACAAATCGACCATTGTCCCGTTCTCTAAAAGTCAAAGTATGTTTTCATGTAACATATTATCCCATTGGTTGAGTGAGATACGTTTCGTAGGTTCACTCTGGGCCCGTATTCATAAAACCGTTCTCAAAGCATGTAACATGGTCATAAAGTGAAGCGTAAACACTGAAAACAGTACTCGGATTAAAATCTTTCAACATTTCTTACAAATCATTGACGAAATATGAGTATGTATAAATGTATCACTGGCACAAGAAATGGAGCTTGAGAACTGTTTCGTGAATACGGGCCCTGGTCGTGATTCCTTTCATGTATCGCCCAGGTTGTTGGAGGATAGGAAGATTGGTTTCCTGAGAATCGTATGGCCTACTGTTCAGGCAATAAATCATTGATTGTAAC